CGTTCTTACAAAGTGTTTTATGCAAAGTTTCTGTTTTAAGTTTTAAATTCGTCAAAAACAATCCCCCTTTCATTTAGTCTTGTTATTTGAGTCAAAATCTGTTTTCTTTTTGTCTTTTGAGTCAAGTTAAGTTTTATTTTCGTCAAAATCACTTGTTAGGTCTAAAATTGAGTCTTTTTTTTATTGTTTGTTGTTGTTTTGAGTGTTTTAAGTTAGTTTTGAGTCTATAGAGTCTAGTTTAGTGTTTTTTAGTTTTATTTGTGTTGATTAGCATCCCTAGTTAATCCCCGGTCTCGAACGATCCCTACTTACATATATACTACAATTGTCAACAATAGGGTTTAATGTGTGTGTCAAGTTAATTTTCACATCAGGCGAATGCCACGTCTTAAGGGTTGCATAGTTTTTCAAAGGGTTTTCACAAAGCATAATGAGTCACGCATGTTCATATTTGATTTGAATGCCACAGACGGATTGCATGTTTGATATACGTTTTAGCTTGAATGCCACAAGTAGAATATACATTAGGAAAACCTAACCTTCAAAGTTGCATGGGTAATTCATAAGTAATTAGTAAATCTACATAAGATTGTTAAGAGAATGGCCAAAACCCGAGTGCTTTTCCAAATTTATTTCTCAAAACCTTTTCGTTTTTATCTATTTCTTCTTAATTGGTTACTAGTTGTTTTTCCTAGATTACTTTTATTAAATTCTTTTTTATTATATTTAAATTCAAAAACAACCCTTTCCAATCTTTGTTTTCAAATAATTAATTAAGATTTTGGTTTTGCATAAATTGTTTTAAATATTCCCTGTGGACACGACCTTACTTGAGCCATTTATACTACAACTATCTTGTTATCTTGCAAGTATTTTTAAGCGTTTTTATCCCTACTTTTTGCAGGTGATAAAAATTCTATCAAGAAATTGAAGCCATTGCCGAGATTGTTTGAAATTATTTGTGTTTATCATATTCTTCGTTACATGAAGTGTGACTACTGCCAACTGGCATTTCTAACTAATTTCCCTAATAACAAGTAAAACCCTCAATTACAACTAACTTGACTCTTAATTTGTGCTTAAGATAATCACAATCCTCAGTTCATAACATTGCCCTTCCCTTGAAGAACAACCTTGTCCTCAAGGTTAGGATTAGAACTTGAAATCTTGAACTTTTTTCGTAGTGAATTCATCATAAGCCTTCCTGCTTCTATTGTCTGACCAAGGCAGTGCACCAAAACTTGGACTGCAAAACCCTGGTTGATATCTGCAAATCCTAGATGCTGAAAAAAGAAAACAAACTTTGGAGCTGCCTGAGTAGGCATTCCAAGGGCATCATACTTCTGTTTTGCCTGTGTAATGCTGGCATTTTTGCAGACAGCAGCTACCCTTGCGATCATTTGAAGACTAGCATCCATTTGATCAGTTGGCCAGCTAAGAATTACACCATCAAGTGGATTGTATGTAATTCCATCCACCCTAAACTTCGGTAGTATAATAGGCCTACGACACATAGCTACAAGTTTTGCCACTGCCATCTGGCTTGTAGTCATGGTCCCTGTTTTATCATAAGCTCCAATCGACACATTTGCTACGTAAATATCATAGGTTGAGCACTGCCATCCCCTTTCCAAGTAGGAAGCAAAGTGATGTCTCTGAACAATCAGCACAACATGACCACTACCCTTTTTTGGCATGATTTTCTTACCAAATTCGAAGGTCCAATCTATTCCTATAAGTTCAGCCTTTTTGACTTCAACCTTTGAAGGCTGAATCTTTTCCAATCTTAAAACAAGCTTCGATAAACTGCAAGCCATAATTGACTCAAGCAAAAACTCACAAGAATGCAGACATTGTAAATGTTTCACCTCATGTGATATGTGGCTCTCAAAAGATTAAACTGACTCTGAGCCTTTTCCCCCACTTTCTATGTAGTGCACCGTGCTAACAAGTTCAATGCCGAAAGGGGCTTTAACAGAGTCTGGACTTTCACTAGAACCTGACGATTGTAGAGAATGAGAAAGGGTGTATAAAACCTGTGACCAACATTCTTTAGCATCCTGTGGCATGAAGGTACTGTTATATTGCTAACCAAAATAAGGGTACTTGTTGAGCAATACCATCCAAAATTGCACAGATGCCATAGCCTTGATACCTTTATCCAATTCACTAATTAAAGCACAAGTTGCAATAGTCAGCTTATGAGAAGCTTGATCCCCCTCATTATTTCTTTCAGAATGTGAATACTTGATCAAAACTGATTTCAACTCTGGAACAGAATGCAGAAATTGTATGGTGGAGTTCATATAACAGGTGTTTCCCAAGTAAAATAAACCAACATCATAATCCAAGTTAATATGTACTTTAACAAGGTTTTCTTCTATGGGTACTTTTCTGCTAGGATCCCCACTCAAATCACCCTGTGCATCTAACTCAATATCATCCAAACCAACAGATTGTGGAGTTTGATTTATGCCAACCACACTTTTAGCTAACCAAAACATCATAATGTCAACAGGGGGAGATTTTTCATCTAAGCTTTTGCTTTCAATAATCTTTATCTCAACATGGGATACATTGGCTTTTTCTTCATAAGAAATTTCATTAACCATTTGTTTAATCCATATGGCACTAGCAGCAAAACCATGTTTCAGGATCAGCGGCTCCAGATAGGAAAACCAACATCTGTGATAAACATGCCGGCAAAGTTGCACAGATGCAACCCACTGGTCAGGGATAACCTGAACCCTTGGACATGATTCACATCTATATTCAATTACTGCTCTACTAAGAGTATTCATAATACTGTTATTGATGTAGGACCCTGCCAAGTTGAGACCTAATTAACCATATATCAAGAGCTTCAAATATACCAAGGCATCCAGATTGCTCCACAATGACTGAGATGCAACATAGACGTAGAGGGATGGCTCATATATAGTCAACTGGTTTGCACAAGCACTATTGAGATTAGAGGTGATATGACACAGAATAAGCCTTTGCAGGTGATGTAAGAGATAGTAAATGAAATTGAACAATTTTCCTAGATTTTCGTCAACCCGTCTCTTAGACATTTCATCAAACAGTGTAGATGCACACAGATCCTTCATCACAAACTTACCCACAAGATAACAATTAACCCATCCAAATTTATCTTTTAGGTATGCACGATAGTTATCAGTCAAACTAGAAAGGAATTTAGCCTCCGAATTTGCTGAAATGAAACTTGAATTAAGAACTACCTCAGGTCCAGTTTTCGTAGCATCGAAGAATGAGTGCTTATGGCATAGCTGCGGAGTAGAGGTCATCGTCTTCGATTCCGAAAGCAAAACTGTAGATGCAGCAGAGTTGTTTGAGTGTGGCTTGATGGCCGAATTTGCCAGTGCTCGTAACATCGGTGAAGATGAGAGCAATGGCCGAATGGAATGGTCGTGGATTGTCGACGGAATTCGCAGTGGGTTGCCGTCTCCATTTTGAGGTTTTTGGTGACCGACCTCAATCGATTCAGCTTCCTCGGAACACATCGAGGGTGGATCAGAATCTCCCTCCACGCCAAGAGCCAAGTCACGGCGGATTAAAGCAAGCAATTTCACAGTGGATCTCTGCGAGCACAGGATTCATAGCTTTGTGAATGGCGTCGCGTACAGAATCCATAGCTTCACAGGCCGCAACACGCATCGAAACTTCGAAAGAGTCAATTGCAGCTGAGAGACGCTCATCCATGGCAAGGAGAAGGGTTGGGTGGGTGTGCACAAGAGGGAAACCAGGATTCGAGAAGGATGATACCATTGATACGACCCAATTCTCAATTCCCTTAATCAACCTGCAAGTAGCACAAGAAAGATATGGAAGAAGAGGGAAGGTGAGATAAAGGAGCGGAGCTCCAAATATTTTTGTATTTAATTTCTTTCTTGTAAATTATGTTCTGATTACAAACCAAAGAGCAAGTACTCTTATACATGAAGTGTGACTACTGCCAGCTGGCATTTCTAACTAATTTCCCTTACAAGTAAAACCCTCAATTACAACTAACTTGACTCTTAATTTGTGATTAAGATAATCATAATCCTCAGCTCATAACAATTACATGGCTAGCTATTGAACACAATCAATCTGGACACAAAGCAGGCTACTTATATAAATGTTTTAAATGCTGTAACAATCTGTGCACCTGCACAGCCCTTTAAACTTGAGGAAATTCATGTGGAGTCTCATAAGAAGGCTAAGACATACAAGGAAAAGAAGATAAAGCTTCGTGACAACCAAATTCTTTGTCAAGAAATTCGGCCAGTGCATAAATTGTGGAGGTTAAATACAAGGTTTAAGTAAGTTCGGCGGAAACGTAAACCTCGCTGGAGGGAATCCTATTTGATACAAAGATGCATTCTCATAGAATGGTGGACAAGAATGATTCAACCAGTGAACTTAAATGCACAGTTCAAGTCACTCATTACTTACCATTGTCCTATGATGCAGCTAAAGAGTGGGTGATTCTAAAAGAACAAGTGATGTGATCATCAATTCCTTCCTCTACATCTAACTATAAACATTAACTAAAGCGCCAATTGGAGGCAACCTAATTTTTTCGAACTCTTTTCTTTTTACTTTCGTTTATTTTATCTTCTTGCTTTTATTTCAATTACAAAAATCAGAAAATTCAAAAAAAAAAAAAAAAAAATTGCAATGTTTAATTCCTGTTATTTTTCTTTACTTACCTAATTAGTTTTTTGATTTGTGATTGCAGGCTGCATTCGGCACTGATTCGGCCTAATCTCAACTAAAGGCGTGCAATCAGCATTCATTCACCCCAGCACATTCATCATCATTCCTCTGCATTCATGAGATCAGGCAGTACGGAAACAGAAACCAAAATTGAGATTCAGGAATGCTTACAATTGGGTATGCTGGGAAGCTTCTACACTACTTGGATCCACTCACTCACACTCTCTCCCATGCAATTAATTTACAGACACTTAAACAAATTTCTAGGTACACGGTTCTACAATCGGGGATCCAAGTGTGCATATGGGTCCACATATCGCAGATCAAGTTTCATGCAAATTTTTGCTCCCAGATTCATCAAATGGAGACATGCAAATTCACAGAACACCTACGTGAGTATGACTTATGCAACAGAAAAAAGGTTATTTAGACAGATAATATCACAGAGACGAATGCATGCTCACAGTCAACATCCACAAATCCGTATGATTTTCAGAGACGTGAAACCATTTTGAATTTTAACGCAGTGCAGGGATTTGATTTACATTCCATTTGTAGATCCGAGTTCTTGCAACCACCTTTGATGTGTGTACAGCAGCTCCATGTGGGCGTCATTGCTCCTTGCAGTTTCTATTAGTCTTGGCCTTACTCGGATCCCGAACTCTACCTACAGAATACATACATGCATGTGTTAGAATTTCGTTTTCATTTGACCTTCGGTCATGAACTCGAAGGAAGGAAGACGTGGATGCATTTTACCTGAGGAAAGTGGCTCTGTATTTGCAGCTGTAAACAAGTTTGGGGGTGGATCTGCCTCGTTCCCCATCTTGGAACAGAGGAGGTGCAGCTTTGAGGCCTTTGGTTTCCGTTGCAGAAATGGAGGAGAGAGGAAGGCTATCGACTTCTTGAAGAGACAGAGAAATGGATTGCTGGGTTTGGAGGATGGTACCGGTTGAGCGGCTAAGGACTGAGGAAATGAAGAGAGGGGAGAGCAGAGCCCGGGGTTGTGATAGTGAGAAACAATGCTGCTGACTTAATTATTATCGGAAGCTACTAAGGCCTTCCCACGTGAACACTACGCGGGTGGAGCTCAGCATGAGCATCAGCGTTCCTTGCTTCCTCCAGGTCGCGAGTTCGACTCCAGGTGACTTTCTTCCTTCTTTTCCTTTCTTCTTCGTCTTTTATCTTTGTTTGCTGCTCGTTGGTTGCTAATTTTTTCTGTTTTATTTATGCATGCTTTCTATTTATATTTTTTCTAGGTAGCTCTTTTATTTGCTTTCTGTTTTTATCTTCTTCTTTTTATAGTTTTAATTAGTTGTTTTTATTTTACTTTTATTTATTTTCTACACCTTGTGGACAATGTGTGATTCAAGTTTGGGGGTGAGAAATGAGAAATTTTAGATTTTTAATTTTTGAGTCAAAGTTTCAAAAATGTATTTCTTTTTAAGTTAATATCCATAGATTATTTTAAACATTAGAACAGATGGACATGGTGAAGGTTAATCCCATCGTAGAGTCTTTTATATTTATCGTTGTTTGGACGCTAATTTATGAGTTATACTTTGAAAATTTGCACATTTACTTCAACATGGTTTGTAGGGGTGGGCACGGTGCGGTTCGGTGCGGTTCCACCCCTAAATTGGAACCGAAACCGAAATATATTAACGGTTCAATTCGGTGCGGTTCCACTTAAATTTATTACTAGAACCTTACGGTTCGGTCTACATCGGTTCCGATTCGGTTCTTGCCGGTTTACGGTTCCTAATAATAAATTATTTGAACACCAAATCATTATGCATTCAAATACATCTTCTAAAACTGATTACATAAAGTTGCATACAACACATCTTTTTAATGCAAATGTCTTTGGTAGTGGCACCAAGTCAACAAAAAGAGACAACTAAAATACATATGCACTGGTCAATCAGTCAACAAACAAAAAAATGATGAAGCAAATTGCAGGTTTTCAGACTTCAGAGAGCAAGCAAGAAGCAGCAGCTTCTGTACACAATTTTTCAACCTATTATACCATGACATGTGTGTGTATATATAATTTATTTATTTATTATTAATAAAACGGTTCGGTTCGGTTCGGCCGGTTCTTGGTCATTCGAAACCGGAACCGGAACCGGTTTGAACGGTTCGGTTCGGTTTTTCACTCAAAGTTGACTTTTCCGGTCAACACGGTTTTTTTCGGTTTTTTTTCTTACGGTTCGATGCGGTTTTGCGGTTTGGCGGTTTTTATGCCCACCCCTAATGGTTTGTGGGAATTGATATTGAAGTGCTTACTTTTCATCTAAGTAATTTTAATGTTTGTTTAAAATAAAGTAAAGTTAGTTATTATCATAAATAAAGTAATAATTGTTCCATCCGAGACTTTGTTTAGTAACCGGGCTAGTCCTGCCTGATCAACAGTGATTCTAGCATCAAATGGTAGAGTCTTGGCAAGGGGCAAGGTGATTAGTTGGTTAACCTTTTCAGCGCGAGTTAATAAGTCCTTAGGGGTGTTCTATGCCTAATGCCCTAAAGCCTTTGTGGTTTGGGAGTCATTGACCTAAAGCTCGTTACATGGATTGGATCGAAAGCTTAAGTAAACTGGCATTGCATGACCACTACTATTACAAAAAAAAAAAAAAAACATATGACAAGAAAAAAGAAATTGAAAAAAGAAAAAAGAAAAAGGACAATATATATATATATATATGTGTGTGTGTGTGTGTGTGAAGTTTGTATGTACGAAGTATTAAATAAAGACGACAAAGGGCAGGGGTTTTAGACGAGTCTCCTTAACTATGTTGATTCACTTTACACCAAAGGAAGTTCATGAATTCTTTTCTAATTGATTATAAATGGCTTAGACTCTGTGGTGGGATTAGTTGGAACTTTTTGAAGATGTTTTGATTTTTAACATTTTCTACTAATTGCAACTTGAAGATGAAAATTTTGCCTTGGTTGTGTTTTAATAAAGTTTTTAAGTTTGTTAGTTTTTGTTTTTATTTTTGAGTTTTGTTTTGCTTGAGGGCAAGCAAAAAGCTAAGTCTGGGGATATTTGATGAGTCTATATTATAGCATATATTTTACCCTAATCTTAGTATTAATTTATTGGCTATTTTGTGAGATTTTGATAGTTTTTATTATATTTCCAATAAAGGACATTCGACTTCCTCTAGAGCAAAAAGTGATCAAACGGATGAATTTTGCAGTGATTCCAATTGGAGATGTTTGTGAGTCTTTCAAGATGATTGTGTCAAAGTTTCAGATTTTTTTTACCAAACCGTTTGACTGTGGCGATAAAAGAAGGCCAAGCACGCAGCTTTCCCGAATTGACGTTTCTGGATGTTTTGGGTATTTTTGAGGTCAAGATGGCATATTTTGAGGAAGATGCCTTATGAGGATTTGTAGGGGATGTCTTTAGCTTTCAAAAAAAAGACCTTTTGGGACCCAATCCGTATTGATTTCGTTGGTCAAAAGTCTAATTCTATGAGAAGTCTGAATTTCAATTCAAATAGAAAACCTTTTATTTCCTAGTTATCTTATTCTATTATGTTTCCTAGTTTTTAGAAGACATTTTCTAGGTAGGATTTTATTTTGTAGTAGTATAAATAAGGTTTTTAGCCATTAGGGAGAGCACGTACGCATCAATTTGGAGAACTTACCCAGGCTTTGACAATTTGTATTTCAAGGTGTTTTCTAGCCGTGTTCTTAATCATTTTTAGTTTTATGGTTGTTCGTAACTAATTTCCGGGGCAGTGCCTTGAGCCTTAGCATAAATATGTAGTTTCTATTTAATTGTTTATGATATTATGCATGCATACTTTGAATTATTAATCAATGTGTTTATATCTAAATGCTTAGCTACCATTAGGATATTTAGATAAGTAATCAGATGAAATTCGGTTGGAATGCCACCAGAGGATTGAGTATTGCTTCTTGTGATTGATAGTTGTAATTTCACTTATGGTGAATGCCATGTCTTAAGGGTTGCGTGGATTTTCAAAGGGTTTTCACAAATCATAGTGAGTCATGCATGTTCATATTTGATTTGAATGCCACAGACGGATTGCATGTTTGATATACGTTCTAGCTTGAATGCCACAAGTAGAATATACATTAGGAAAACCTATCCTTCAAAGTTGCATGGGTAATTCATAAGTAATGAGTAAATCTACATAAGATTGTTAAGGGGACGGTGAAACCCAAGTGTTTTTCCAAATTTATTTCTCAAAACCTTTTCATTTTTATCTGATTTCTTCTTAATTGGTTACTAGTTGTTTTTCCTAGATTACTTTTATTAAATACATTTTTATTATATTTAAATTCAAAAACAACCCTTTCCAATCTTTGTTTTTAAATAATTAACTAAGATTTTGGTTTTGCATAAATTCTTTTAAATAATTCCTGTGGAAATGACCTTACTTTAGCTGTTTATACTACAACTTTCTTGTTCTCTTCCAACTATTTTTAAGTATTTTTATCCCTACTTTTATAGGTGGTAAAAATTCTATCATGGATCTTCAGTGAAAGCATGATTTTGGGCATGGTTGAGAAGTTGTTGACTCTAATCAAGTGGAGAGTTAGAAAAGGCATTTTTAAATGGAGAAATCAATGAAGGTGTTTAATCATACATAGTGGCCTCCAAAGAATTCAATTGATCTCTCTTTTATTAATGTTGCCATTAAAAATGTTTTAAAACCTTTGTCGGTTAGGGATTGAAGATGAAGCAGATGAGGGAAGACAAAGAACAAAAAATGAGCAGCTAGGCATTGATTTATCAATAATGGCTTGTTCATTTTGAGGAAATAAAAGAAGAGGAATTAAAGGGAGGCAAACTAATCATCATTCAAGAAGGAAGGAAAAAAAAGGCACGGCAAAGCAAGGAATTTTCTGATTTTTCTAAACTTAGTTCTCTTTTAATTTTATAAATTCAGTAATATTTCCGATTATGTTCCGGAACTAATTTCGTTTCGCTATGGTTACGATGTAGCCTAACTATGAATTCTTAATTTCTCAATTTAATTATTTATGAATTTTCATTCACTTTGAGGGTCATTTTGCTGTGCTTATGAGTTTGATTTTAATCTTGGTGATTGGCCACCACTTTGGTTTGAATTGAGTGTATGTGATGCGAATGAATGCAAATGCCATGTTAATTCGGTTTTATTGTCCTGCAAATGGTACTATGAATTTCTTGATGTAGATGCCATACACTAGGTTTTATGCGGTCCCGTAATTAGTTCCCAAATCATTAATGAATTTGTATGTGTTTAGTAATCTAGATGCCATAGATTATTAGCACATATGAGTATACGTAGTAATCTAGATGTCATAGATGCTACATGAATTAGAGGAATTAGACCGTCAAGTTGGACGTTTATTCGTTAATAATTAACTGTTGGAATTGAGTTGGATTTGTTATGGTGAATCGGATGTCCTAATGTCTTTGCAATTGATTTATAATTTGATTTGTTTGTTGTTCTCGTCACTTATTTAAGCTCATTTGATTTTTATTGACATTTACAATTTCAAAGTTCTTTCTCAAATCATCAATCTTTCAATTCCAATTCAAGTGCAATATAAATTTAAGTTAGATAATTAGAATTATATCAATCTTAATTGGAACAATCTTGTGCTTGCCCACTATGCTACTTTACGATTCGTACACTTGCAAGCATTAAAATTTGAATTTAATTGGGTTGATTTCGGTTAATCTAATTTTGGCAACAACCACCTTTAGTCGAAGATTCTCTCCACTGGGCTTCACATTGTCATCCTCGACGGTAGATGCCTGATCGTGAAGGCTGTGTGGAGATGTAAGGCAAATAATTTCACAAAGAAAAGGAACATTATCTTTTCCTTTTGCGGCCGATCCTAGTGTGGCCTTTTTGTCCGACCAACCTTTCTCTAACTAGTCTTTTTCCCTTAGATTGCCTTGCAGAACTAGCATTGAGCTGTATTCATGGAATCTCGA